ACTTATTACAATAGGTGCTCCTTCAATGCCCTCATACATTTACAAATACCCCTTAGCGGTGGTAACCTAACCCTGACCCCTTCCCCATTTGAGATCCAAAATGGCTTTCCATCGTATTTGAAATGAAATCCAAACTCCTTATACTGGCCTGTAAGACCCTAAGTGATCTGCCTCCTTCCTACCTACTGACAACTTATACCAAGCTTCTGGTGCTCTCTTTATTCCAGCCATAGTAGTCTTTCTATTCCTCAAACACACCTAGCTCTTTCCTGCATCAGTGTTTGTATATGCTTTCTCTCCACGTGGAATATTCTTTCCCCAATCTTCATTTGATTGGCTCCTTCTTATGACTCAAGCCTCAGCTCAAATGTCACTTTCTTAGAGATCTCAGATCATTTTCAGTTAAAACCCTCCTTCATTTACTCTCTGACATTATTCTTATTTTCTTCATAGCACTCCTTAGTTATTATGCCTCTTCCACTACACTAAATTCTTTGAGAGGAAAGATACCTTTTTTTGGTTTGTTTCTTAGTGTTGCTATGGATTTAGTCTAAGTTTGATATTTCTTTCAGCATGTCTATGGAATTTTAGGAAGGCATTTAGGTCATATTAAGCCTCAAGTCCCAGCTTGTTTGGGGAAAGACGTTTATTTTGCTCAAAGGAATTTGTCAAGAAAGTCATACAAACTGCGATGTGACAGACTTCACCTTGTCAACACTTAACTCTTCTAACATGAAGTTAAAATAATACTTAAGGGGACTTGTTTAAAACTTTGACAGGAAGCAACTTTGAAGGTAGAGGACCACCCAAATTATTTCTGGCTTGTATTTTTCTCTGCAAAGCCTAAGACTTATTATTTTTAAATTCCATCATCTTTATCAGGGTCTTCAGCAAATTAAAGGAAAAACAAACAAATATGTTTCCAAGGTTAATTTCTTTCTTCTTTTTGGCTGCTGGCCGGTAAAGGGATCTGAACCCTTGACCTTGGTGTTTTAACACTGAACTCTAACCAACTAAGCTAACTGATGAGCCCTCCAAATTAATTTCTAATTTGAATTATACACCTACAGCCTAAGCTAAAGAGTAAAATACATTAACAAGTTGCTCCACTAAGAGAAATAAAATGGCATTTGATGATATCTAATATCACTATATATGCTGACTTAGCTTCTGGTCTATAAAATATAAACAGGAGCAGTTTCAAATACCACTACTATGGTAGAAGGCTGAATAACCAGAGATCAGACAATCTTAGTTTGGGACTTGCAGCTGTTTACCATCAATAAATTCTAGTTTTATATTGCTTTGCCTTTAGACTCTATATTAAGATGATTTTGCCTATGATAATAGAAAACCCAACTTGAACTGTCTTGAACAATAAAGGACACCTATTAGCCTAGGTGACAAGGCTTAGCCATGATCAAGTGTGATTCAGTCAGAGCTGTGGTTTCTCTCTAATTTTTTGGCTCTGTCCTCTTCTATGTATTGGCTTTTTCCACAAGCTGGTAGCTAAGAGAGCTGCAGATTAGATCTTCCACATACACAGGACATTTATCTCTTCTTTAAGAGTGAGAAAACATCTTTTTTCAAAGCTCCCATAACCCTGTCCTGGCTTCACACTGGCCTATATTGGTTCACATGCTATTCTTAGACCAACTCCTGTGGCCAAAGTAATACTATACCTTAATTGGCTTAGATCCAGGTTCCTGAACAATTTCTGTAAGGGCAATAGCATTAGACTCACTAGTGTTTTTCAAACAGTGAGTCATAACCCAAGAATAAAGCATGAAATTAATTTTTGGATCCTAACCATCATCTGAAAAATTAAATAAAATATAAAACTTGAGATTGCATTACACATATAGATGGTTTAGTACTATTTTATGAAACTTTGGTGTACACACACACACATGCACATCTGGATCACAATGTAAAATCTGTTTCTTTTTGTGATTTGATATCAAAACACAGTTTGAAAGCTACTGTCAGACAAAATATGCTCACTTTCAAAGTTGGCGTGGGGTCAGCTTCTGCTTAAGTACATGGATTATGCAGAAAATGAATTCCTGAAAGAAAAGCAGGGTACAATTTGGGAGAGAAAAATAGACGCTGGGGAGATAGTCAACAATTTCCTCTGTAGCCTGCCTGACACTTTAGTTACTATTTAATCTTTATCGGATTCCAATATAGTCATCACCATACATATTTTAGTTTCCCCTCCAATAATTCCTAAATTACAAAGTATGTCTCTCTTATGAAAAACCACTTTACTTCTCGCATCCAATAAGTATTCATGATGGAGCAACTTATAAATTTTATCATTTGATTGGTGGAAATTATTACAGTATTCTAAGAAAAAAAAACACATCTATTTCAAATAACTGAGCACATATTATCATCACCCTAATCTTGATTTAGGTTTAGATTTTGATCTTATCTGATAAGAACTTTAGACTTCATTCTAGTTCAACCCCTTTTATTTATTAAAACGAAGAAACTAAGGGCTACAGAGGGGGATGAACTTATGTAAGGCAATTAATTAGTTGCAGAACACAAGTGTCTTGACACCCACTTCAGAATTCTTTCCATTGCACCAATTAACAGTGCAATTATACCACCTTTAAAAAAATGAAAATAAACAAACTTGTATAAGTTCCAGAGGCATACACAGTTGATGGATTCTTTCAAGAACTGTAGCTGAATTATATTTTGGGAAGTAAAATTTTTTGCACTTTTAAGGCAACAGGGGGACTTATTAAAGAAATGCTGCTCTTGAAATCTTTGAAAGACAAACGCTAGTTAGTTACTGCCTTTCCCTTTAAGCAAGGCTATAGATCATAAAGCAACTTTTTTGTAATGTTTATAGTATGAATTATATTTCACTTTCCTACTTCACTTTTTAAACTAGAAAATTCCATTCACTGAGCACTTCTTATATGATTAGAAATTTTATAAATGATCCAAAGGAAGTCTCAGCTACAATACAATTGACGTATTTATGTATAAGTGGTGGTAGGGCAAAATTGACATATGAAACAATCCTCATTAAGAAGTCAAGGCAATTTCAATTACTTGAAATATAGAGAGAAAGTCCTTTTGGGTTGTACATTATCAAGGGAACTTTACTGTTTCATGAATATTCAGGAAGGATAGGTGTCATCTGACAGTATATAGGGATGGCCGGTTAGCTCACTGGGTGAGCATGGTGCTGACAACACCAAGTCAAGGGTTAAGATCCCCTTACCGGTCATCTTTAAAAGGAAAAAAAAAAAAAAAAAAAGAAAAGTTTGTAAAGTAATGACTGGAAAAAGCACTGTCTTTGGGAAAGATCTATTTTAAACTAAATTGGTAACTGTGTCACCTTGGGCAAGTCCAAAAATTATTTAATCCCATAGCATTATTGTAAAGATTATTGATAACATACAAAATGTCTACTAAGGTGCCCGACAGATAAATAGGTGCTTAATAAGGTAATAAACGGGAAAAAATCTGGGCTATAAATGCTTAATCTTGCTGCCTCACATTAGGATAGGTCCTGTGGTCTGAAAAGCTGTTGAATCTCCACAGAGAATAAACTCAGAAGTGCAGAGTCAAGTTTTACTGGGATATGGTTGGATATGGCAGAGGACTAATATATTTTGCACACCTATTCTTCATCACCCACTATTAGAGGATGTTTATATATGTTCCCAATTGCCATAATAGCCCTTCAAAGGAGACATAATAGCCCTTCAAAGGAGACATAATTGTTAATTTTACAGTTGAGATAACTGAGGTTCAAGAAAGTTCAGACTGCTCTACATTAAACAGCTGGTTAAGTAGTGGAGGAGGTACTGAACCTAATCATTGTACCACATTCTGCCTTAATGAGGAGAGAACCCCTACTCCCCAAAATGGGAGATAGGTTTCAATAAGTGAGATTAAATAAATAATGGTTACCTACAGTAGCTCTGGACTACAGGAACAACACAAAATATTTAACACTGAGTCGGCAACCTGCGTTCTGACATGGGAAAAGTAGCCCAGAGACAGGACAGTCACTAGGAAATCTTTTATAGTACTCTAAGAATAAATTGATAGGAATTTTAGTCTAATCGTCTTTGAGTATAGTAAAGTCTAATTAATTTAGACTATAGTTTATAAAATTTGCAATATAGGAAATGAGAAACAAAATAACTAAAAATGTTCTTCATACTTCCTCCTCTCTTCCTCAACAGTTTAGCTTGAATAACGAAAATCATATGTTCTCTCAATGACTTCTGCATACATAATGGCCACACTGTATGTTAGCTAACAGAATTGAGCCTTAAAAAAAAAAAAGGGGTACCATTGTGTACATATGCCACCATGCCAATCAGTGAATGGTAGGAAATCCCTATTCCACTTTTTGTTGGTTTACTGTCACCAACATTTTTTTTCCTTTTTGAGCATCTACTTTAGTACAGACTTTTGCCAGATAATGAAGACAGAGCTGGAAAAGACCCTCTAAGAGCTAAATCCAACACTGGGAATCATAGGACCATCAAGGAGTTCACAGTTGAGAAAGACACAAACAATAAATACAACAGTGTGAAATAGGGTTGAAAGATATATAAACAGGAAACAGAAAGATATAGAGAATGAAAGTACCTAAGATAAATTAAGTCAAAGTGTTGAAAAGCAAATAGGAGTCTGTTAGGAAGGAAGACTGGGCCAAAATAATTTTTTGAGACCAGAATGCATGCAGCAGTGTGATATGTTTAGGGCAAGAAGTTCCATGAGATTGGGGAGTTGCAGGGTAGGCATGGCTAGAAAGATTGGTAGGGATTAGATCCTGAAGAGGAAATTGGGACTTTACCTCGTGAATAGTCATTTCCATTATGACCATGGAATCCTTTGAAATTACAATGTAAAAAAAAAGGTATCAACAATAACAATGTATGTTTACAGTTTTGATTCCTTAGCTTTCTTAAAATCTAAGAAGTATAAAAATTTTAATCATTTTACTTAAAACCCCAAAATACCAGAGATGAAATCATCTTTTATTTTCACATTACATTTGGTTATCAAAAGACATGCAAAACCCTCCAATATTTAATGAGAACAGTGTTTTTGTGTCTTCTTATCGCATATCCGCTTAATATTAGGTGTAATGTTGCTAAGTCGGATCCGCATATGAGGTGCAGCATCAAGTCTTTTCCTATACTTCGTTTTTGTTGCAGCATAATATGAAAACCCTGTTTCACACAGGTGCATTGTAGCAAAAGGAAGAAGTACACGAACTGCACGTTTTGCAATGCTTGGGTATTCCTGAATTAGGCTACTCCAAAAATCATTTAGTGAGAGTTCACTGAAATTTTGTTTCACTTGAGAATCAGATGTTAAATCAATCAGGCTCTCATAATCCCGGGCTACCAATGAAGCTGGCTTAACAGTTACTGTAAATGGATTTCTAACCCAAGCATTATTATCATTTGTTACAGGAAAATATTTTAACAGAGTAGAGTGCAAACCCCTTAGGTGCTGCATGATGGCACTGCAAATATCTTTATCAACTGTAGAATTAATTTCAGTCAAAAAGTCACTAAGTGTAGGGAAACAATCAAAGTTTTCTTCTTCTACAGATGAGGACCAAAATTCCAATTTTCTTAACAATGATGACATTTTATCAAACACTGTAAAAACTGTCACATTTTTTCCTTGCATTGACAGATTAACCTCATTTAATTTAGTGAAAATATCTGCAAGATATGCAAGTCTTAGCAGCCATGATGAATTTGTTAAACAATCAGATAGTCGAAAAGCAGAATCCATGAAAACCAACAGTTCACGTCGAAGTTCAAAAAGTCTTACAAGAACTTTACCTCGGGAAAGCCACCTCACCTCTGTGTTTAGAAGAAGTGCTGTGTGCTGTGCACCCATTTCCTCACATAAAATTTTTAGTAGTCTCGATTGATGTGGTCGAGCTTTAATATAATTGATGATTTGTACTGCCTGATCTAGCACATTTTTTAGAGATGTAGGCATTATTTTAACTGCTAGTGCATGTCTATATAATAGGCAGTGACTACTGGTGCTTTCTGGAGCCACATATTTTATGAAGGTGACAGCCTCGGCAATTTTCCCATCCACTGCCCTAGAAGCATCACTACAAACATCAACACATTTTTCCCATTCAATTTCGTGTTTCTGCATAAAACTGTTGATACAGTTGAATATTTCTTCACCAGTAGCATTACTCTGCAAAGATTCACATAAGAGTAGGTCCTCCTCAATAGATTTATTAAACCTATAACGAACAAACACAAGCAGGACAGCAAGTCCTGAAACATCAGCTGATTCATCTAGTTGCAGTGAAAACCCATCACAAATTTTCAATCTACAAACAAGCTCTTCTTCGATGTCAGCAGCTAAGTCCTTAATTCGACGTGCAACAGTACTGTTTGATAGTTGTACTGCATCTATTTTTTTACTATATTGTTCATCAAACATTCGCATCACTACATCTTTAGCACAAGGTTTGATAAGTAATTCTCCAATAGTATGAGCCTCTCCACTTAGGGCTATATGGTAACTTACATTGTATGATGCCTCTGTAGCACTTTCATTATCTGTATTGACAATTTTAGGTGTTGGGGGTTTATTATTTTCAGGTGAATCAAGATGTTGCTTGAAAAAGCTTATGTCTTTGTCTTTATATGCAGCATGTTTAGTTTCCAAATGTCTTCGAAGCTTACTAGGGGCTAAAGAGCTATTTGATAAAATTTTCTTACATAATACACACTGGGCATGAGGTGCATCTCTATTGCCAAAGTAAGTAAATCCAAAAGACAAATAACTTTCATCATATTTTCTTCTTTTTGGTTTCTTACTAAATGTTATTTTGTTGGAATTGGACATAAACTTGACCCTGGAAAGCTCACCTTCTGATTTTTTGGAAACTGAAGGCTGCAACTGTTCATCTTCACTTTGTAATACTCCAACCTTTTGATCACTTGATTCAGACACAATTTGATAACAAAAAGATTCTACTTCTTGTTTAAGACTTCCTTGTTTCAGCAACAAATCCATGGGCAATGAGTTGGTGGTACAAAACATAGTTAATTTAGAATAAACATTGAGTATCACAAATATGTTGAAATTATAAGACAGGATACAAAGACGAGCAATCATCAAAGAGATAGCAATACATCAGTTAATTTGTAAATGCTGCCTATGCATCACTGCGCAGATGGAACATCAAACGTTCATGTATCAGGTGATCTCTCATGCGACTTCCTGGTGCTCTCAGGTATGGCACACCTTTTTTCAAAGGTAGATTATCACATAAAAATAAAAGCTATAGAAATAAGTTTAGTAGTCTTAAACTTACATTTAAATAAGCTTATATTAAAATAAACTATAAAGAAAAACTATTGTTAGCATCAATCTTTTTCTCAAAACATTGACTTAGAGAATGTTAATATTCTATATAACAGTTTGGGAATCATTGGGCTAAGAAATAATGAAGAGTTGGTAAGCATATTTTTAAGGAAGGGACCTTGAAGAATATGTCCCATGCAGGGGTTGGCAAACTTTTTTTGTAAAGGGCCATATTAGTAAATATTTTTGGCTTTGTGGGCCATACAGCCCCTGTTGCAACTACTCAACTCTGTAGTTGTAGCATTACAGAAGCCACAGATAATACATAAAAGAACAGGCATGGGTGTGTTTCAATTCCAATAAAATTTTACATGCAAACAAAAACTGACAGCATGGGCCATAATTTACCAACCCTGTCTCATGATATATAGTATCTCGGAATCTCTTTTGGCTTTCTGATTCCTACTGCCATTAGATGTATTAATTGTTGATGTTATCATACATCTGAAGTCTCCCTTCAGGACTAGCAACAATTCTGATGAGCTATATTAAAAACACACACATATAGTTCAATGTTTTGCAAGAAATAGAATTCTAATGTATCCTAAATACTACGTGTTAAAAATGAAAAAAAAAACTAGACCAAAAGTTAGGTACCATCTCTCTGGAATTAAAATTACATAAATGTTTATATTATCCAAATTAAAACTTATTCAAAGTAATGTACATTTTTATTGATTACACTAGACCAAAAGTTAGGTACCATCTCTCTGGAATTAAAATTATATAAATGTTTATATTATCCAAATTAAAACTTATTCAAAGTAATGTACATTTTTATTGATTACTCTGCATTCTATACTACAGGTGAAAATTTAACCAGGACCTAAAGAAAACATAAATTTTCATTTTAATAGGTTTATTCCTCATATAATAAAAAAAAAAGCATTTTTAAAAGGGCAATGCAACTTAAGTACCTCTAAAGAATACTATTAGCTTTCTAAGTTATGGCATACAAATTCTGTCTATCCAAATACAGCTACTTTTGATTTCTGTGGCTACAGAGTAAGCTCTCTTATTCTCATGTTGGATCCTGAATTGAAATAGTTCTCCTATTAACAGCTAAAGGATAACATACCTGAAATGAGGAATAGTCCTGTCTGCAATCACACTCTCTACCTTGGCAGCTTGAAATGGAGACTCTTCAAAAGAATAAAATTAAGGAATGGGGTGGAAAGGGGAGTAACCAAAAGCCTAGAATAAGAAAAATTACAATTAGACACTGCAACAAGAACTAACTACAAACCTCTAAGATAACCATTCATTACAATTTATTTTAGATTTGGGCAGTGCAAATGATTCCTCACTGCGGTGCAGATCTTGGACTGAAACAGAAGATGCTTAACAGAGTAAAAATGCTAATATTTTCATCCTGTTTCACACCCTAGCAATTTCACCGCTTTGAGATGCTCCCCATTCATTGACCTTATAGAAATACGATAAAAAAAAAAAAATTCAAAACTAAACCTAATTTTTAAAAGTACAGCTTTATCTTAATGTCTCTAAAACTAAGGGCTGAATCTAAAATGGATTTGCACGTAGAAGTGTTACATGAAATATGCCTTTTGCTATAACCATTTTTGTCCCCTCAATAGCCAATCTAAGGTAACTCTTATTTACTGAGCAATCATTTTATCATGTGCCAGTAACTGTGCTAAATTCCTCATCTAGATTATCTCATCTAATCCTCAAAACAAACCTTGGGAGTCAGGGACTCCACCTTAAAAGTAGACAGAAAGAGAGGTTATGTCACCTGCTAAGTTAACAAGTCTGGTAAGTGAAGAACTAAGAAGCGTCCAAGGAGTGACTGAATAGTCCACGTGCCTAGTATTATGTGTGTGTTCGTGAATATTCTTTTAATTGCCCAAGCACTAAGAAAATCTGGTACCAGGAGTTGGGCTGTGCAGAGAAAAGGATTAACAATAGATTACAACTGCCAGAAAGTTAAGGGTCTCAAATTGGCTGCGGCAAAAAGCCCTACTTCTTACTGAAAGCAAAAGAGCAGTAGATTCTCCTTCCGCAGTCTCGACTTGGAATTAGCAACAGAAAACTTCGTGGAACCGCTGGTTCATTTAAAACAACAGGATCCCTCTCCCTTGCTGCCAGAGAACACATAAGAGTAGGAAGCTTTGTTTTCAGGAAGGACGGCCTCATCCCCACCTCTTTACAGGTGCTTCCACCGAATCCCTCAAGGACAAAGAATCTGGCCTCCCTTGGGAGTAAAGTTTCCATTCCACTACCTGAAAGGAGGGTGAGGGGACCCCTCATCTTTTGTCTCATCTTCCGGTTAAACTGACAGGTAACACATTCATTCATCGCCTACCCCCAGGCGGTTCCAGACGTGAACAGTACCCTTTTAGGATCAGGAGGGGCAGAGTCACAGTGCAGGCCAGCCATAAAGGCCGGCAGGAGGTGGCACGCAAATGCTTATTTAAACGGTCACCTGGATGCGTGGCCCAGGTCAGCTAACCCTCAGCGCCTCCCTGTCACAGGTGCGCGCTGCCAGCAGACCGCCACGGCTGGGGGCTCGCTTCCTGCCGCAGCCCACCCTCGCCTCTGGACTCTTCTCGCGTCCCCAGGCAGTCGCCTGCGATGGCAACCACCCGAAAACGTCTCAGCACCCAACGCCATCTTTCTCCTTCATCTCCCTCAGCGACGGAGAGCAGTCTTGGCCGCGGCTAGGCTGCCCAGCAGCGCCGCGGCCCCCAGCCGAGCCTGCGCCCGCCATTTTAGACAACTCCAGGCAGCGGCCATTTCAGAGCGCACCACTTGGCCGCGGTGGCGGCTCTGCTCCTCACCTTCACCGAGGCCTGAACGGGGTCAAGAGCCAGTCTTCGCGGACTGGAAGGGGTAGGAAGGGGTAGAGGAATGAAAAACAAAACAGAGGAAAGAAGGATTCGGGGACAGGGTGATGCTCTCAGCTCAGGGACATCGCCCATGCCACCTCCGTAGACATCCGATTCGCCGCTGGCGTGGTCGCTGGTCTAAGGATAAATTTAGCACGCAGGAGCACCCGAACCCTACAGTCTCCACGAGCGACTCCTCCGCCGCCCAATCAGCGCCAGAGTTGCTCCCCGCCACCAATCCGCACTGAGCAGTGGGGCGGGACCAAAGGAAAGGACCAAGCTGGGTTGAGGCGCTGCCCGGCTGCAGGCGCCGCGCTGGGTTAGTGAGCGTGGGCGGGCTGGGCGTGCAGCGATTGTTCTCCAACCTCCCCGGATGACTGTCAGGCCCGGCGTTGGTTTAGAATGCAGGTTCCTGGATGCTGCCGGCTAGAGCTGGTGATCCTGCAGGACGAGTGGAATCCAGGAGCCTGCATTTTCCTCAGCTCTGGCGCTCTGCCCCAGCGGGGTGATGTGTGGGGTTCGCAGCGCGCGGAGTGTCAGCGCCTCGGCCGCTGTGCCTTCACGACCCCTTTGTTCCTCGAGGCCGCACTTCAGGTTACGCAGCCTCGGCCTCTGTTCCTTGGTTTCTCGCTGGAATCGGGGTTGAAAGCTCGCCCTGGCCCAGCCCTGCCCCACACCCGACGATGGCGTGTCAGGGGCCCTGCCCCTGCCCAGGGCTGAGCTAGACGCTCGCGGGGCGCTGCTCCGGCCCCGACCCCGCCACACCTCTCGGGTGGCCCCCAGATGGGCTCGGGGAGCCGCCGCGTGGGACTGGGGGTGGAGGGGGGCGGATAGCGGCTCCGCAGTGTCTGCGGGAAGAAAAGGCCGCTCCGTGTCTTTGACTTCTCACAGTGGCGCCTCTCTTAAGGAGCGCCTGGCTGCCTGCACCGAAGGGCCGTGAACATTCATTTTGCGGGCTGCAGCGTTCGGGTATTTTAAGCGGCAGTTCTCTTACGCCCTCCCCTCTTTTCAGGAACAGCCCAGTTGTGTACTTCCATTTTGTGTGACGTGTGGTGGAGACTTGGAATCCGTTTTTCCAGATTGGCACCTTGAAATAGACATGCCTGGGGGGGGGGGATGCGTACGGGTGGCATTAAGTAGTAGGTCCCGTTGTTTGCAATATTTTAGCTTTCGCGGCTCCATAGAAATGACTAAATGAAAATTGGATTATGTTTTCGAGCAGTGCACCAATGGCAGAAAATTCCCAAGTTAGGGTCAAAAACAAGGGCAGTTTTTCTTTTTCTTAAATATGCTTCAATATGTGATCAAATCTCTTAGGTATTGGAAGAAGCCAAACCCTTAATAACTCAATTTTTTCAGGACTGCAAAGACAATTTTCTAGGACTGACATTTAGTCCCAAATGTTTTAAAGCCATTTTCAATATCTTCATCTTGCCTGATAGTAGGCTGCCCATTATTATTATTATTATTTTTTTAAAAGATGACTGGTAAGGGGATCTCAACACTTGGCTTGGTGTTGTCAGCACCACGCTCAGTCAGTGAGCAAACCGGCCATCCCTATATAGGATCCGAACCCGCGGCCTTGGTGTTATCAGCACCGCACTCTACCGAGTGAGCCACGGGCCGGCCCTGCCCATTATTATTTAAAAATTATTACTATTAAATCGGTTTCATTTGAACTTTAGCCACAAGGGGGGAAATCATTATTTTTGAGAAGAGGGGTGCAGTTTTACTTGAAGAACAAAGATTGCATTTTGTGATTGCAGGAGTTGTCTAGTTTCAGAATAATATTGTAATAATTTCATACTTTCATGTTTTATATTTCAGAAAAACCTTTTACATATATGCTCCCAATCTAATCTTCACACATCTAGTTTACATTATTATGAATTGGGAAAACTCATAACATTAAACTGATAGGAAGAATAGTGTTTGAATAAGCCCAAGTGAAGTCAAGACTTGACTTAAGTCCTAAAATCTGAAGAGTATGATAGTTAAGGTTCATGAAACATAAGGACTTTTCCTATAATTGCTTTGTCAAGTTATTATAGAATGTTGGTTGATGAGACAGATAAAAAGTGTAGACCTTGTAGAACTCAAGCCAATAATGATAATAGCATTTATTGAAAACGTAGGATGGGCCAGGTATACACTTTTTAATGTTTTAACTCATTTAATCTTCACAAACCCTATCAATTGATTATCCCCATTTCACAGATAAGGAAATTGAGCCTAGAGGGGTAATAACTTATCCAAATTCCCAAAGCTAATTGGTGGCAATGCCTGGATTAGGTGCAATGCTGGTTGTGGGAACTACAGGCTGACTGTGTGCAAACTTAATTTCCATTAGGCAAAGAACTATTGTAAATAAGATTACAGTGATATATTGGGTAGGCAGGTAAAACATATGACATAAGAATTTCCATTTTAAGCATTTTTAAATGTCCAATTGCATGGAATTAATTACATTGACAATGCTGTATAACCACTACCTCTGCTTCCAAAGCTTTTTTGTCATCTTAAACATAAACTCTGTACCCATTAAGCAATAACTTCTCGTTATTCCTTCCCCCCTGTTTCTGGTAACCTCTAAATTATCAGTTTCTATTGTAGCTTTTATTCACGCTCAGGAATTTAACTATTCCCTGTATGTTCAATGATTCTCAAAAATATAACCTGAGCCCTGACTTCCCACTTCTTCCCACTTTAACTTCAGTTCTATATTTTCAAGTCTGTAGACTTTCTATTTCAATATATACCACCAGCTTACATTCAGCATGTTTGACACTTAACTAATTTTCTCCTAATATGTGTACTTTTCCCGACAGCCTCTTTTTTAAAAATATTTTTGGCAGCTGGTGGGTATGGGGATCCAAACCTTTGACCTTGGTGTTATCAGCACCAACAACCTCATTTTTTATTAAAGATTTTATCATTCTTTTAATATCTCAAACTAGCAAACTTGGAGTCAACAGTCACTCTTGATTCACTTTCATATTCCATATATACAGGCACAAATTGTTACTTTCTTCTAATGTTTCTTATTTCATCTTCTTCCCTGCATAACTCTTGCGTGTTCTGTAGACTAGGATCAAGAAAGTTTCCTTCTGAATTATTGCTAGTCTTGTTAGTCTCCAGTCTCATCTACTTCTAGAGAACCTAACTGGAACACAAATTAATTCACGCAGCCAAGGTGAACAGAATTGCCATCTAAGACCTTCTCACACATGACCTGTCATTGTTCTGACCCCAGGTCTACTTCACCAAAAATTTATAAAGCCCTCAGTTCACTGGCTCGATCATTCTGTGTCCCAATCCCGAATCCTGAGAGAAGAATCTGATTGTCTCAAGTTATGTTTTCTCATCAGATCATGGACCACTGGCCCACCTTTGGAGTGCTACCCTTAAGAAAAATTTATAAAGCCCTCAGTTCACTGGCTCGATCATTCTGTGTCCCAATCCCGAATCCTGAGAGAAGAATCTGATTGTCCCAAGTTATGTTTTCTCATCAGATCATGGACCACTGGCCCACCTTTGGAGTGCTACCCTTAAGTCAAGTCTCTACTCAACTCTTGTCAGGGCTGGAGCAAGATGGGTGGGTGATCTAGGCTGGCTAATAATTTAGGGTCTGATTATAGCTGACATCACAAATTGATGGATTTAACCCAACTACATCTCACTACTAGCATGTCTCACTCCTTGAGGCTAGAAACCTACAGACTACATTTCCCAGAAGACCTTACAGCTTGGATTCATAAAACCTAGTTTCTGTAAAACAGATGCATCTTAGGGAGATATGGAAGTTAAACGTGAACATTCCGAAGTGAAAGCTATATTTTTGCCACTTCTGTTGTTTCCACTGGCAGGTGTTGGTATTTTTGAGACAATTCTAGCTGAGGTCCTATCATTAAGTCCCTAAATTTCATAGGGAGCAGGGCATTTATTTTGCTGATTCAGATGATAGCAGTCAGCTGCTATTGAGATGGCTTCTAGGCTCTCCAACTCTACAAGTGTGGCAGACACATGGTGCTCATTTTGGGATAGTTCAATAACAGTGTTCTGGAAGTTGTTCCTGAAATTGCAGCCTCAACCCTGTTCTGCCACCCTTCTAGTGATTTTATAAACCCCTGATTTCCAACTCGTAAATCCCTTTCTGTTTAAATTAGCTAGTGTGAAATCTGTTTTTATGATTGAATTCTAACTGATACACCTTTCAAAAATGTTCTTTAAATATTTGTTTAACACTATTTCATAGAAACAATGAAAAACTAATTTTCCATCAATTAAAATTATAGACAGGTCCCTAAGCAGTGTCGATATTTTGAAACAATTTGGCAATATATATCACGTTTCTCTATAGTTTCTTTTCTATTCTATTCTGTTTTCATATGCAATTTTTCTGAACCAGACACCTTCTTTGGAGACATATTAAAAGGTTTAAAATTTGTATTCTAAAATTGTTCCTGGCCAACAACACTATTCACGAATTACTTGGTTTTAGATTTAGTCTACTTGATGAATTTTATTAAATTGTTCCTGCATAAATGCAAGGCAAACACATCTAACAGACTTAGCTAGACTTCGGGAGGGCTGTGAGGCACAGTGCGGACAGGTCCTGGAGGAAGACTGGTTTCAAATCGCAGCTCCACCATCTGCTACTTGCGCGATCTTAGGCATTTCCATTTCCTCATCTGAAAAATAGGTTTACAAACAATGACATACAATAGTTTTGGGGTTTAAATGAAATAATACATGTAAGACACTTGTTATAGGGCCTGGTATATAATAAGCATCCAATAAATGTTAGATTAATACTATTGTTTTTAGTTTTCACTTTTCTGAACTGTATTTCAAGCAGGGGCAAGTTTACATTCCTCCACCTGTGTAAGAATTTACCTATGGAAATTTTAATTGCTTTTATAGTTACTAATTATTCCAGTGATATTTCAGTGTCCCTTATAAATAAATGATTTGGGCAACTGCCCAGCTGTCCACCTTTTAATCCAGCTCTGGCTTTGGTTAAGTAAGAGCAGGATCATGTGAGTATCAGAAGCTAAAGGAGAGGGGAGTTCACTCAGAAAAGGACCATGGCAGATATTGCAATGAGTGACTTCTCTAGTATAGCCCTCTTTAATTTATAAAAGTTTTATCACTTTG